AACATACACAGTCACATTCGATGACGAGGAACCCACTTTGAGACTAATAATGGCTGGAGACGGCTTAAATGGGTAATGAAGAAAAACTTTAATATAACTTTAACATGACAGCAAATGTACAACGTTTCGACAAGGTTTTGTCATCATCATATAACTTGTTAAAGTTATATTAAAGTTTTTCTTCATTACCCATTTAAGCCGTCTCCAGCCATTATTTCAACAGTCAGATCGCACAGCAATTCGTAGGACTACAGCCATGTCCAAAATATTTACATATTTTGTAACAGATAAGATACTTATTATTAAGATGGAATGCAAATTCACTTAGCACTGTGAAACTTAGAAATGAATGTTTAAACATCTACATATGTATAATGAGACAGGTTCTATGGACATCGTGAACGATTTATTAGAACAGCAAACAATTTCATCAAACACCAAAAGAAAGATGTGTAATTTAGCATTTCATCTATCACAACAAAACCTTACCAAAACATATATAATGATAAAATATAACATCAAATTACCATAATCAGCGTCTGTAACCTTATATCACTACATACTAAATATTCAGTACTTGGTTGGTTCTCGTCGTACTCTAATAACCTCTGCAAGGCGAGTTGGCATGTTGTCGATGAGGTTATTGATGTAATCCACCGTGATTTCATCTCCACTTGTCACTAGAAGGCGCTAAAACTCAACTACAGTAGCTGGTTGATGGTTGTGGTTAGCAATTTTCTGGCTCAGTTCCGCCCACCAGTTTTCAATAAGATCACAATCGGAAGACTTTGCTGGCCATGAAAATCTTGTAACGTCCTCCAGGTCGAGATAATCCTGTACAAAACACGCACTATGGGCAATGGAATTGTCATTCTGGAACACAAAGTTATTGCCAAACCTTGCTCTAGCATATGGCACAATTATCGTCTCCATGTGATGCCTATAGGATGCGCCACTGATGTTTTCCTGGAATATATGAAGAACAATTTTTCCACCATGATGAACAGCTGCACAAACATGTACTGCATCACCTCCTGTGTTTTCTCTATGAGAAAGGCAGTCTTCCCCATCTGTTTTCCAGGCATACACTGAACACGAATCCTACCATCAGTTTTAACAAGCCAGAAACAGAACTCATCTAAAAAGATGACATGTTGTCATTGTCCTAACTGTAAGTTGTTATGCTGTCTTGCCCAAGTAGCACGGTGACGGCGGTGAATTCTGGTTAATATCGGTTTGAAGATAGTACCTTTTACAATATAGCCTTGTTTGGTCAGTCTCCTATTCACCGTTCTTCTGGATACCCTGGAATGAATGTGTTCACGCCATTCCTGTCATAAGGTGTTGAAGGACTTCTTTCAACCTTGACGTGTTAAGTTGATCAAAAACACGGTCATCTCGGGCAGTAGTTTTTCGGCGTCTACCAGTAATCTTTCCTGGAACAACGTTTCTTGTAGTCTGGTGATGTTTCAGAATTCTGGATACAGTACAATGGGGGATACCCTACCGTTCTGGCAATGTCCGTTTGCTTCATACCATTTCTAGACAGTCGAAGAATTTGACACCCTATAACTTCTGGCACGTGACGAGGTATGACTCTATAACCAGGGACAAAGAAATTGTCTGAACAAAGTGTTGTTCTGTTTCGAAAACGATTACATCAAAAGCACAGCCTTTTATATAAAACAGGTGTGCATGTGTGTTTTGATGAACAAATGCTCAGAACAACTTATACAGACCAAAATAACAACTCTTACATATTTGTCTGATTATACGCTACCTTCTCCGTTACTAATCGGGCATTTACTCAATAACTACTCCATGTACATAGAAAATAACATCAATATAGAACAGTATCCAAACATTTTGGCCAAGACTGTACACAGCGACTTGATCACATATCGTCTATGGAATAATATGACTACCTATTTTATTCACTCCTCACTTAAAATACGCGACGGTTGAATTAGAGGTATAACTGAACGATCTATCTTGGTGAACCCTTATCCTGTTGACCTTGTTTCCAGACTGAGATTCGTCTTGATTATTTTGCAAATTGTTGCCTGTGACACGTGGATGGCTCCTGCCACCGACTTACTACAAGACGCTGCTCTTTGCTTAGTTCGGATACGATATGACTTGTTGCTTGGTCCTGGTTTCATAAGTTTATCTATATTCTTTTGTTTTCAAATGTCATCAAGTACAAAGTGTATCCTCGTTTAGAACTTCAAAATTATCAATCGGATCACATCTTTTTAATCTGAGTGTATGAATATTTTGCATTGAAAATGGCTGTTACGTATCTTTCAAAAAAAGCGATCAGTATTTGGTGGCGTCAAACTATCTACGTAACGCTATCATTATATCAACATTTAAAGGAGAGAGAGTCAGAGTGATTTAAATTGCTGTATTATCAGTTATATAAAACATTCTTTAAAAAGTTGTTAAAGAAAAAGCGATTCAATTTTTAGGTTCACTAAATATTTCTTTCCCAAAAATGCCCAATCAGGTATGATAAAAATAAGAATACAGGAAATGCAGTACATAAGATGAAAGATATTGTAAATTATCTTAGTAATGATGATGACATATGCTCTTATTTTAGAGATATCAAAAGCTTTTAATGCAATCTTGCAAGAACTATTAGTAAAAGTACTCTATAAGCATGAAATGAAAGGTATTGTTTTACATTGATTTAAATCATATATATTGAGTAGAAAACAAGTAATTAAAATCGATAGAATTATAAGAAGTGAAATGGAAACTACTTCTTGAGTAGCCCAGGGATCAGTTTTGGGTCCATTATTATTTTAATTTTATTCAAATTACTCCTGCGAATTTAAGTTTAATATGAAATTTTTTTGGATAATTCTGTATTACATTATCGTGGCAATTCTGATAATGATGATATATAAGCAACAAATAATGATTTAACATACATAAGACATGGTTTAATGAAAATTCTATAGTTAAAAATTAAGAAAACAGTTTATGTGGGATTTTATTTCAAACAATAAAAAGAAATAATTGACTGTAATCCAGTTTATTAGAGCAACTGTATATGTATGTTTTAGGTAGCAAAAATAATGTAAACATTAATTCTATTTTTCAAAAATCAGAACAGGTAACTAGTTCAGTACTGTGAACATTAGGCTTGTGTTTTCGTGAAAAAATAGAGATGCCAAATTTACAAGTAACCAAAATTTCTGTTATGCACAGTTTATTTGGGAAGTTAGGCCTGTCTTCGTGAATGATGGTTACGTTAACCAAGGAATTGGAAGTCGGAGAATTAAAACGCTTTTGTAATCATACAGCGAAATCTATAAGTACATTTGTCGTAGGCCTAACATTAGTTAAGCCTTTATTAAGTGCGGCCTATATTCGATATGTATAAATAAATTAATACTGTAACTTGTGTAGTTCTTTTTGCTTTTTGTTAGGGCTAAACTTTACCGTACGTAATACTATCAATAAATAAACTTATAATGTTATCGTACGACCTAACGTTAGACCCTTTTAAAAACTTTGATATGCATTTAATATCTTGTTGTACAAATTGTCTACTAAGGTATAGTTACATCTGTTGAAATTAAGTGCGCGCGCATGCCCAGATAGTCAGTAATGTGCACGCGAATTTTTAGGACAGACACAAACTGAGTAATGTTATAAAGATATGACAGAATATTAATAATCTATATGCAATCCAAGCTCTGGTCTTTTTACTGACTATTTACAGTAACTAAGAGTTTGTCTATGAACACGTACACCTGCTTAAGCACTACTCTACATACCACTTCCAAGTATCCTATCTGACGCTGGGAACAATGTTTATCTATAAGCACACCACGTTCATCTATCTTGTTTAACACGTTAAAGAAAGTATCACTCTACTCACCAACCACATCCAAGTATCCTATCTGACTCTTCATGGGAACAGTGTTTATCTGGCACATGTAAAAACCTCGGTCTGATTCCTGGGCGTTTTTTATTTGAAGGATCCATCTTTTTTTGTCATTGTGATTAAGGTCAACCCTATAGTTCCTCGTGATGACATTTTGATGAATAGTTAGGATGGTTTTGCTCTCAACCCTCAACCATGCAACCTATCGAAAACCAATGGAAAAGTCGGATTGGTTAAAAAGTGCTTATAAATCCAAATAAGGTATTTATGAAAGACAAATAACTTTGTTGCTATAAATGTTATTGTAATGAAGATGACAGAGGAGTAAACAACAGTTCTGTATAGAACGTTAATAAATACTTATTAATTAGATATAGAAATGATACAATCACTACTATGGAAAGATCATGAAAGACAAAGTCAGTTACGTTGTGCATAGAACATTATAGACAGCAGTTGTAAGATATAAAAATAAATAGCCTACCTTGTTGCATGAAAAGTAAAATAACTTCAATGATCAACGGTACAACAGATAATTAAACTATGTAAAACAAGTTAAAAAGTTTAAATTGAAAAGACTCGGCAGTCCTGTTGTATCTGTGTATTATCCATGGGCACGTGGTTATTGATAGTGCTCCTTGGAACAGAAATATGCTTTTATAGTGAAGAATTGTTAAAGAATTAACATACGGGTAATATCTGAGCATAATGTTTTGAAATATAAAATGAAAATACTGGTAAGACATTTTGAAACATTTGTTGGTTCAGCTAGCTCCAGGCTGATAGTAAACACTCAGGTTAAAGATTATATTTCGAGACATTATGTAATAAAATGTAGCATCATCGTAGAGAGTTTGTAGCTTGAACAATTCTGGTAAAGTATTTCAAGAAGATACAAAATTTTGTCATTTCTGTAGTGATAAGGAATAAACTGTTAAAGACAGTGAAAATAACAGTAAATTTTCTCTCTGGAAGTGTAGTCCATTCCTTTCTTTTGTTACGAATAAAACAAAATATTCAGAATAAAAAAGAAATAAACAGGGAAAAAAAATGAGGACTATACTTGTCGATGGGCGCGAAATTTATATCTCCACTGAGTGACGCACGTTTCCAATTTACAGTTGTTGTATCCACGGTGAAACGGTTTTCTCACTGAACATTCAGTTAGGCCCGCTAACTTTAGGTTCGGAGGATACAGGACTACGGAATATAATGACCTCTACGATCTAAAACTGGGATCGTATAGGAAAAAACTCAACACCAATTGTTTGGCTGGTACAAAAGTTGAACTTATAAGAGTAATGTGAGGGCTTTATTCAAAAGTTCTTATCAGTCTGTGTGTCCCTCCTGTAAGTTAAACTATAATATAAAAGTGGATCTCCAAGTTAAAGTTGGAGCAATATGAATATCCAAGTTTAGACAAGTTTAGTCGTCCCCCAGTGGGATTGCGGTAAGTTTACGGACTTACAATGCTAAAATTTGGAGTTTGATTCTCCGTGGTGGACAAAGCAGATAACCCTATATGGCTTTGATCAAACAAATATTCTTCTTTTAAGTTTAGTTTATTTCCAATTACTCCAACCAAACTCTTAGATCATGGTTAAAGTTAAATGTAAACTAACAAATCGGTTAGTTTAACGAAAATAACCCTTCAAAAGGAAGAAGTAAGTTACCCTCATGAGTTATTCATCTATCTTACAGGGATAAACCAGGTTTGATATACCAAAATAAAATACACAAACAAAGCCACGTTTGTTCATGAAACGCACCTAATGTTCAAGGTCTGTGCCCACTAAAAGTTGAACTCTAAGGATCCTCACCTTTATCCGATTCACCTACAGGGAAGATAGATTTCCTGTTTCTGGACGTCATGTATTACATTCACTGTAAGAAAGTCAGCCCAACTAGCGAAGCCTGCATTAGAAGCTGCAATATACTTAACGAGCCCACCACGCGCATACACTAATGGGTGTAGCTTTTACTTGACTCTTCAGAAAAATATAGAAATTTTAGTTAAAGCATTGGAATAATTTATAAACCATCTTAAATGTCACTGCATAAGATAAAGGTTTTTAAAATTTTCCCCCTGAAATAGCGATGCTTATAATTAAAAGTTTGAATATTTATTCCTAAACAAAAGCATTACCTAAGTAGGTGAAAGTATCTACCAAATGAAGTCTTTGTTACATATGTTATGTTCAATGTGACGAAAATTATCTTTACATTCGAACTGTAAACACTGCTCAGAAAAAAACAGTTAAATTGTAATGAAAGATGTGGGCGTTTGATATCAAAATAATACTCATTTTACTTATTTTCTGGATGATTTTTGTACCTGATCAATATTAAAATGACCTATGATTATTTTTTCGAATCTGATGAATCTTTAGAACGTTGAAGTATTTTATGTAAGCTTAAAACTCAGATCAAGGAGTATTAAATCACAAATTGATGACCAAATGAAAGTGTATCTTTTCTGCGCGAATATATCCGAAGTTTTGATCTCTCACAAATGAAATTGCCTGGACAACAAAAACAAATTTGGTGGAAATGACGGTAAAGGAAGTATGAAGCAAAATGGAGAAGGTTTCATCGAAGGTGATAGATAGCATGAACGTTCCACCGACGGGAAAGATTCAATGAACACCAAAAGTGATTGGACTATCTCGAGGGAAAAATACCACTTTAATCCAGTGCACTTCAAATTTCTTGTAAAAGAATTACTGTTCTTATTTAATCTTCGTTCAGACACATAAAACGATTGAGAACTAAAGCAAATAAAATCAGTCTAATTGGATATCTGTAATATATTTTGTAATTGATTCAAACTCAGCTAAGTCCTCCCTAAACAAACCAGCCAACCAGGAAATATAAAATATAACCAAGACGTTTTGTTTTATCAGACCTTAATTAAACATTATTATATCAGATAAGGTCTTCTGTTTCAGATTATATATATCCAGACGAACTAATGAAATAAATCTCAAAATAATGAGCAGAAGCATCAATTTCCATAGCATAAACTTTTACTATAAAATTGTAAACCGAACGTGCAGTCTCATCCGTTTGTTTGTCACACTTCTCGCGTAAAACACGAGAATATTGAAGGGTGAAATAGACAGAAGATGGCTGATTCTCTTCAAATCTTTTAAAGGCATGACCTTTTTAAGATAATTTACGGGATAATATCACAGATGTCTTTTAATGAGGGTCGGCACCTAGTAAGGCGACATATAGTTTCAATTGACTGATTTATTTCAATAATTATATGAAAAACGAATATTAACAGTAAGTGTGATAAACAGATTTCCGACTGTATTATTTTAAATATATTTGTCAGTAAAGAGTTTGGTAAAGTCTTCTACGGTAATAAACTACCCATTATAGCAATGTTCTGATAGTCGTTTAGAGTCAAAGATCGTACTGTAATTGTCTTAGCTGCAAACAAATATATTAATTTTATCTTATTGAAACATTCAGTTTTTCATAGTACATTAAGGAAGTATTGAAACGCTAGAGGTTTTTAAATAAATCCTAAACATGTATAATCCATAACGCTTTCAAAAATTCTATTACACTCTGACACTGCACTTCTTTCTTTGAAAATGTTTTCATAACATTTAATGCTTAGAAAAAGTTATGGGCTGTACAGCACTCACCCTGTTCTATTTCCTTCACTACAAGGATTCGGTGTTTGTTTGTTAGTTTTGAATTTCGTGCAAAGCTTCAAGAGGGCTATCTGGTTAGGGTGCTCGACTCGCAATCTGTAGGTCGCGGGTTCGAATCCCCGTCACACCAAACATGCTCGCCCTTTCAGCCGTGAGAGCGTTATAATGTGACAGTCAATCCCACTATTCGTTGATAAAAGAGTAGTCTAAGAGTTGGCGGTGGGTGGTGATGACTAGCTGCCTTCCCTCTAGTCTAACACTGCTAAATTAGGGACGGCTAGCGCAGATAGCCCTCGTGTAGCTTTGCGCGAAATTCAAAACAAACAAACAAACAAATAAATCATAACACTCTCATTCAGGGGTTTTCCTAGTGTGCAGTTGATCACAAATTGTGCACCCGTAAAAATATTTGTGCAGTTGAAAATTCGCATATATATAAGTAAGTTCAAGTGGATAAATATATACACCTGGAAAAAAGTTAAGCACCCCCAAATATTTTTCAGGATTGCTTATTGAAAATAAAGTTTAATTTTCATGATGTCGAGCAATGTTCATAATTTCAAACATAATTAAAAGGATGTGAGC